GGGGGGACTACCCCTTAGGATTTGGGTTGATCGTGCTATTTGTGATATGTGATAGCTGTGTACGCAAGGTGACGAGTGGGTACACGAGCTATATATGATATTTGATCGGTTTAGACTATTTAGATTCTTTCCATACCTTTAATCGAATTGTCATAACATGTTATATCTTTCATTGTTAATCTACCCTTATACGTGTTAATCTATCCTTACATGCTTTATTTGACATTGTTAACACTTGATCCATATCTTACTTGTTATTTGCCCTTACATGCTTAGTTGAAGCTATTATTTCCTTATTGCCTTGTTAATTACTTAATTATTGAGTTGCCTTACTTGAAGTTATTAATTCATGAACATTCTCTTGTTTAACTATTGGTGTTGAAGTTGTAAAAGCCGTTATCACTATGAGGCGAAATTGTTAATTGTTGAGGTATTATTCTTGTTGAGCTATTCACCATTATTTTGTTATTGTTAAGATTCTTGATTTCTTGTACACATTGTGGTTGACCCATGGGCTATTTATTATGAAAATATTGGTATTGTTGATTCTTTTAGCAAGATGTGGCATATGGGCACTTGTGGTGCGAGTTATTATTGTGTTTGCGATATTAATGTGCATGTGGCGGTATAAGGATATGGGTTAATGTGCATATGGCGGGATAAGGTGAGATTTATATGCGTGTTGCTAGTACGAGAATTACTTGAACCCACGCGGTGACATAAGGTGGGCTAAAGTGCGTGTAGCTATTTCGGAAAAAATAATTTCAAACTATCTAAATGTATGGCTCACGTGGGCGGTGTAAGAAAATTTTGTGATTGAAATTTGTGAAAAGTGAATACGAGGCGGTACCTCGATTATGATTCTTGTTGTTATCTTTCATTTACCTCACTTGTATTTGCCCGCATTATTTTTTTGATGTTCTTATTATGTGTTTCTTCCTTGTTGCCTCTATTGCTCTAAATTCAGGTGTAACTTATCTTGTTGTATTTATTTATTGCCTCATTTTCCTCGTTTCCCTTATTAGATTGTACTACACTTGTTCAACTTATTTTTCTTATCCTAGTAGGTATCTTGACCTGGCCTCGTCACTACTCTACCGAGGTTAGACTTGATACTTACTAGGTATCATTATAGTGTACTCATATTACGCTTCTACACATCTTTTTGTGCATATCCAGGTACCTCGTATCAATCTAGGCATCAATGATTTGGCTATACATCTCGGAGACTTCAAGGTATACCTGCCGATGTTTGCAGGTCTCTAAGTCACCCTCTGTCCTCGTTTTCTACTGCTTACTCTTATTTAGATAATGATCTATTAGGAATTTTACAGTATATTCGTGTAGAACTTATGACTCAGTCTCACCAAATTTTGGGAGTTATTGTCTGCGGTATTGTCAAGTTCTATTATGATAGTTAGATGGTTTAAATTTGAAGTTCTATTGTTATTTCCGCTATTTCTCCATGCATGTTAGGATTACCTAGTCTTAGAGACTAGGTGTCATCACGACATCCTACGGTGGTAGATTGGGGTCGTGACATATACAATAATTATTAAAGGCCCGGGACGTAAATTCACCGGCATTATTAAGACCCAGTGTATTAATTGCATAATCTGAAAACTATGCTCTTAATCTTATTAGTTGAGTCAATAACCTCGCAAAGGCCAAATTGCGGGTTAATAACAAGCACATATACATCTATCAAAATTATATAATATCTGAATGGTCTACATGAAGGATGTATGTGCCCACATATATCACCCTGTATATGTTCAGAAAATGTAGGGGATTCAACCCCAACTTTAATTGTTGATGGTCTGATAGTCAGTTTACCTTGAGAACATGCATCACAGGAGAATTTTTTAGTTTGAAGAATCTTTTGGTTTTTCAATGAATGACCATGTAAATTTTCTATTATTTTGCGCATCATATTATAACCGGGATGACCCAACCGGTCATGCCAAATAATAAAATCATTACTAGACCCCTTGTTTGTTTACTATGACATGTGATTCGACTACACCAATACTAGTGTAGTATAACCCAAAGGAAAATGCGAGAGGATTTTCAAGCACACACTTCTTTTCCGCTTTTATTGTAGTAATATAAAGGCATTTAACCTTTTCCTCATTGGTGATCTCAATATGATAGCCATTTTGGCGAATATCTTTAAAACTCAACAAATTTTTTTTAGACCTAATACAATATAATGCATCATTAATAGCCAAAATAATTCCTCCGAATAATAATAATACGACCGCTCTTCCATAGCCCTCAGTTAATTTTGTACTATTAGATATTGTTATGATATTGGCTTCTTTCATAATTAAATAAAAAAAATATCTCTTATCTTTTAATATGGCGTGTATTGTGGCACTATCCAGAAAACATATTTTTTCTTTATTCTTCATACGGCCAACTGAATACTGAGAAGTTTTCATATTCTTCATAAAAAAAAAAAAATACACCATAAGTGATATTAAAAAATTTAAGAACAAAAGAAACTGTACTTAGGAAAGTATACTAACAATATAAAAAGTTTTATTCAAAATATGAACTTCATAAAATAAAAAGAACAACTATTCTTATATTTTTTTCTAGGAATAAGTCTTCAGTTATGATGCTCAAAGAAGTCTCCATCTTCTAAATGAGTAATATATGCAAGGCCTTTAAAAATATCATCTTTATAGACAGGGTTTACTTCAACTTTATCATGATTATTCATACGACCCGCCTCAACATCATTTTGAAAGGTCAAGTGAGTCTCAACTTTATTTTATTTCCTTTTATAGACTTGATAAAGTTTGATAAAATATTGAGGCGTACAAAAAGTTTATGCCCAATAATTTTTCATATCACATCGTTGGCAAATATTATCTTTGCCTTTTGAAGGATTATTATGAGAACCCTTGTTGTTCTTTTTTTTGTAACGGCCAACAACATGACGATTATTATTTTGCCCCTTGCCACGCCTACGTATATTCATACAATCACGATAATTATTTTTGGCTTCTTTCACTACCATATTCCCTTTAGGGAATGAAGCTGATCCAACGGAGCATGCTTCATGATTTTCATTAAAAGAACATTATATTTTTAAGCCACCAAAAGACATGAAATTAACTCATAATATATCTTAAAAGCCATTTTCACGGTATTGGTGGTGTAACACCATATTTGAGGCATGGGAGTGGAAAAAGTATTTTACAATATGTCCTCATCATTCCTAGGTTCCCCATAATTTTAGTTAGGAAGTTATTCTATATACAACAACATTATATTCACTTACGGTCTTATAATCATGTAGCCGTAAGTGTATCTATTCATGACGAGCTCTTGGCAATATCGTGGCCTTTAGGTGGTCATATCGTTCCTTCAAACTAAGTCAAAATTGAAATGGATCTTTCAAGGTTAAATATTCACTTTTTAACCCTTCATCGAGATGATGGCGAAGGAAAATCATGGCTTTCGCCTTATCTTGACTTGATGCTTCGTTTTCTTATTTAATAATGTCACCGCGATCTTTAGCGTGTATCCATGGCAAATATTTATTTTCAGAGATGTCAAGTGCCACAAATTCAAGTTCTAATAAATTCGACATAGTGAAAACTATCATAAAAAAGTAAGTAAATTAAAATGATAAAAAATATTATCAATGATTTTTTTACAACTATTGGGCAATATATAATCGTGTACTAATATTGTGTATACAAGCTTGTAAAAACAAAAAGTAATAATATGCAATGCAATGTTATTATATCACGTTTGACCGTAAATTAGCACATAATCATTACCCTATGTATATGAAGCCAAAAACGTTTATTCAATAATCAGAGAGTTGCAAAGCTAAAGTAAGTATATCATGTTCCAACACTTATTATATGTCTTAATAGGCTAGTTAGGCATAAAACTTAATGGTATCACTATTTCTAATTTCCAACAAAAGACACATCAATAGCTAATTGATAGTTTTCAAAGTTCAAATGATTCTAGCCAAATATTAGCTATAACATAAACAGAAAGCATTCCTTATTCTATATGTTCAAAAGCATAATATCACAAGGTTCTTTTAATATCACGGCAAAGAATTGATAGCATACTGTTCTATTCCATAAAAGTAAACTTAGAACTAGATATTCTGGCATGACAATTTAAAATTAAAGCTTATTCTTTTAGGAAGAAGATTAAACCCGGATGAAATAAATAAACTCAGTTGGTTAGATACTCGTGCTGATAACGTATTATGAAATAAGATCAAAATAAAATAATATATTAATGAAGACACGATATATAGGAGAAGAATGTACATGTTTTCTTATTCAAGAGAGATGCACCCAAAGTTCATTAGATGTAGTAAATAAAATGTATGAAGGGATTAAATGAACATCCATATACATTCACTTTATTTATAACATTTATTTTATTTTTCTTTTACAAGATTATTTCCTTTGCTCAATCAATCTTGAGCAAAGCTAAGGACTTCTCTTTATAGAACTTCTTAGATTTGTAAATTGCAGTGGAGTCGTCTCCTATCTTATCGGTCCCATATTTGGAAGAAGAACGACTAACGGAAGAATAAACTGGAAAGGACCCAAACAAAGAATACTTACCAAAGTCATTGCCTAAGTTCTTTCTTGTTACGCTTTGAAGCTTCATACAGGAACTCAAAATCCTCATTTTCGTATATCTTTAGCCATTTACTTGTTGCATTCTCATGAGCTACCCACTCGTGCATCAACCTGTTCAAGAAACAACCCACCACCTTTCACTCTCCCATTCACATTTCCCAAAACCCTCACTAAACCCACAAAATTTCGAACTCAACTTCCGAACCATATGCAACAATCTCTTGTCCCTAACCCAATCAAGATCCTTACTTAAAGGGCTTGCATTACACGCACATATAATCAAATCAGGCATTCAAATAATCCCACTTGTTTCCCACCACTTAATCAACTTCTACTCAAAGCTCCAACACCCACTTGATTCCGCACAAGTTTTCCATGAAACGCATTTCAAGTCTTCCACTACTTGGAGTTCAGTTATCTCTTCTCTTGCCCAGAATGAACAACCAATTCTTGCTTTACAGTATTTTCGTGAAATGTTGTATAATGGTGTTAGGCCTGATGATCATATTTTCCCTTGCGCGACGAAAGCATGCGGGATTCTTTCTGATTATCGTATTGGGCAATCGATTCATTGCTTTTCTTTGAAGATTGGATTTGAGTCTGATGTGTTTGTAGGGAGTTCTGTGGTGGATATGTATCCCAAATGCGGGAAGATTGAGATTGCTCGGGAGGTGTTCGATCAAATGCCTGAGAGAAATGTGGTTTCTTGGAGTGGAATGATATACGGGTATGCTCAAATGGGCAAGGACGAGGAAGCTTTGAGGCTTTTCAAGCTTGCTTTAGGTGAAAATTTGGATGTCAATGACTTTACCTTTTCGAGTGTGATTCGGGTGTGTGGGAATTCCACGTTGCTCGAATTAGGGAAGCAAATACATGGTTTGTGCTTGAAAACGAGCTATGATTCGTCTAGTTTTGTTGGGAGTGCCTTGATATCTTTGTACTCCAAGTGTGGTCTTGTTGAAGGCGCTTATCGTGTGTTTGATGAGGTTCCGCTTAGGAATTTAGGAATGTGGAACGCGATGTTGATTGCTTGTGCTCAGCACGGGCACGCTAGAAAAGTATTTGACTTGTTTAAACAAATGGAGAGTGTTGGAATGAAGCCAAATTTTATTACCTTTTTATGTGTTCTATATGCTTGTAGCCATGCTGGGCTGGTTCAAGAAGGAAAATTTTACTTTGATTTAATGAAGAAGCACGGAGTTGAGCCACGAGATCAACATTATGCTTCCCTTGTGGACTGCCTTGGACGAGCTGGAAAATTGCAAGAGGCCGTTCAAGTTATTGAGGAGATGCCGATGCAACCAACAGAGTCTGTTTGGGGAGCTCTATTGACTGGCTGTAGAATCCACAGAAACACGGAATTGGCAGCTTATGTGGCCGACAGTGTTTTTGAGTTAGGTCCTGTTAGCTCAGGCGTACATGTGCTACTGTCCAATGCATATGCTGCTGCTGGTAGATATCAAGAGGCTGCCAAAGCAAGGAAAATGCTTAGAGACAGAGGTGTGAAAAAGGAAACTGGTTTGAGTTGGGTCGAGGAGGGAAATAAAGTCCACACATTTGCTGCTGGCGATAGATCCCACTCGAAGTCTAAGGAGATATATAAGAAGTTGGATGAATTAGGTGATTACATAGAGCAAGCTGGGTATGTTGCAGACACAAACTATGTATTGCAACAGGTAGCTGGCCAGGAAAAGAGTGAGACTATCAGGTATCACAGCGAAAGATTAGCCATTGCTTTTGCACTTATCACCTTTCCACCTGAAAGGCCTATTAGAGTTATGAAAAACTTGCGTGTATGTGGAGATTGTCACAATGCAATAAAGTTTATTTCTAAGATCACCAGAAGAGTAATTATAGTGAGGGATAACAATCGATTTCATCGCTTTGAGGATGGGAAATGCTCATGTGGTGACTATTGGTGACAAATGTAAGTACTATTACCTTCTGCTACTTTGTTTTTGATAAGTCATGTGGAGATATTGATGCATATCAGAAGTTACATCCAAAAAGAGACAAGTTTAAAGAGAGTGTAAAGAGCTAAGGAAATCTACCATGGCAACATGCAAAAAACATTTGCTGTGGCCAAGTTTAAGCAAAAATATACCGATGAAATAAAAGTTAGGCAAAAAAATAAATAAATTTGTGTTTGAGATTGCAATATTGTCCCTCTAGTATTTGAAGAATCTTGCATTTCTTTCCTTCCAAATGATTCACCAAATATCTTTGGAAATAGTGTTCCAATACTGTTACCTTCTGCTACTTCTACTTTAAAACACTAGAATGATTCTGTGTTATATTAAGACTTTGAGGAATTTGGTGTAATACATTTCGAATTTGTGTTGCATTCAAGATAAATCTTCTAATGAATTATGGGAAACCTGAACTTCAAAGAGATTAGAAACTTCTTCTTCTAGTCTCTTTTTTGTTTTTTCCTCTATCCATCTATTGGAATGACCTTTCTGGTCTCTTGCACATTTTTGGAAATAGTTTCTATAGGTTAGGCTCCTCGTGACCGATTGACAAGATATTACTCAGTTTAGAACTGCAAAAAATGCAACCATAATATCAATAATCCTCTATTTGGGAATCTCCCAATCTGCTCTTGATTGCTTGTATGCTTCCTACATTACTTGATTATTGCATTCAAGTGGAAAAGTGAAACTATGTGATTTGTGCATTGTTTTCTCCTCTCTGCACTTTTGACTCGGTGAATTGAATATGAAGATTGATTGGGAGGTCTGTAAAGTAATTAGAGAAAGAGAGGATATGTTGAAAGATAAGAGGAGAACAACCTTATACCTCTTTTTTTTTTATGAAGTAAGAGAATTTCATTAAAGGCATCAAGAAGATGCATAGCAAAAGAGAGTACAAGTAAATAGAGCAGACCTCCGTTGGATGTCCACACGCCACTAAACCCCACAAACCAGACCTCCGTTGGATGTCCACACGCCACTATGTGAAGCCAACGCGGAAGCCCACCTTCGTCGACTTTCCGACGATGTATTTTCTTCTAAGAGGTAAATCTTCAGCTTTTCTACCGGCTTTTCCCCCTCTATTTCAGTGTTTGGAGAGTGGAAAATGGCTAGAGAAGGGGATTCTTTCTTTTCTTTAGAGTCAAGAAAATTCATAACTAAGTCATTCAAGGATGGTGTGACTTGGCCAAAGATGGAGTGTGATGAGAATTGTCCGATAGTAAATGGTTGCATATTGCAAGGAGCTAAGATTTAAGGTGTTAAATGAGTATACCAATAGGAGGAAGAGCTTTCTGAGGACATATTGGTTTAGGATTGTTGGAAAGTGGGTTGGCTCACCAAAGGCTATTACATATAGGCGTTAGAGGCGTGAGAGCTAGCTTCTGGCTTGACAAGTGTCACCCTACGATGACACGAGTTTTCCTTTTAGATTCACTAGCGACGAGCAAACCACGATAATATTTTCTGAAGGTCGAAGATGGATTGATGGAAATTTTCTAAAGGTTGAAAGATGGAGTGAGATGTTAGGATGTGTTGACCCTAGGTTTGACGGTGATGTAGTTGCACCTACGAGTACACATGTTGTGTTTCGATTTTTTCAAGAAAGTAGGGGACATGTTTGGGGTTTTGTAGACGTTATATGTAGCAAGCATGACATGTCAAGGGTTAGTATTTTGGTGAGGAATGGTGGTAATATACCCAAGTCGGTAGTAGTTGATGATGGGTAGATTTGGTACATAGTTCGGTTGTTTTCAGAGTTTTACACTAAGGCCTTTTTTGTGTGAGAGAAGATTGTCGGGGCAGGGAAGAGAGAGGGAAGGGATTACGAGGGAGAGAGAGAGAGGCAGTGCATAAAAGAGGGAGAGTTTCTCATGGTTGGCAAATACGGTGGAGATGCCGAGAACGAGCATGTATATGGGTAAATTTGGCGGTTAGTTTAAATTGGGGGAGATGAAGAATTTAGCTAAGTTGCTCGAACTCTTTACTTTCGGTGTCGCACCCGTGTCGACACGACGTGAGGTGGGTGTGGGTGTAGGATTCATACCGGATCTGTTCAACCAATTTTGGGTACTTTGACCAAAATTGACGGAGGAATTCAGGACAGATACAATGATTTTTAAAAACAAAACAAAATTAGGGTGATACTAGAGAAAATGAAATACTTTGTATATAGATTTATATGTCAGTCCTTTTCCTTTTATCTCCTTGTAGGATTCTCCTTAACTATATTTTTAAATATTTGAATTATTTTAGCCAAATTGCCGCACCCGTATCCGTTCGTGGATCCGTACTCCCGAATCTTATAATTTAGATCATGAAGGATCCGGCCTCTAGATCCGCACCCGTATCGGACACCCGCACCCGAGCCCGAGCAACTTAGAAATTTAGAAACTATGGCAAAAAGATTAGAGTGCCCTTGAATTAGGTTTATGACATGGAGGACTATATTGAATCGGGTTACTAAAACACAAAGAGTGGTCACGTGTCTTAGGTTTGGGTCAAAAGCCCTTGGCCTCTTCTCTACTCAAGTTAGAGGCTAGGGAGCATAACTCTAGTGTTGTTATTGTAGAGAGGAAACTAGTTAGTGCCAAAGGGGTAACATCAGTGTGGTGACTCGTCGGGAGCACATAATTATAAAATGAGTAGGGGGAGGGCAGTTGTTTATAATGAGAAGTGGGACAAGCTAACTAAGGCTCGTCAAGGATTTCCAACCATTTGCAGTCTATTGAAACAACCACCTAAAACCTTCAGCTTGGAAAACCTTGAGTTGGTGTAAGAAAATGGGGGAAGAGGTAACCTTTTGGTGTATGATAGGAGGCATTGGGGGAAAGAGAGGGGTGGCATTGAGAGGAGAAGGGGGATAGGCTGAAGGATAGGTAGCTTATGGGTATTAAGACTATATCTTGAATAAGGGGGATGCGTGACCCAAACAAAAGGGTTACCATCAAGGCGGGGTTAAGGGAATTAGAAGGCGTATTTACTATGCTTGCAGGAAACTAAAATGAAGGTTACGTCAGATGCTATTACAAGAACTTTTTGGGGAGGGATGTGGATGAAGTATGACACCGTTCCGGCTTGTGAGAATGCTAGGGACATAATACTTCTATGGGACGAGAAAATTGGAGGTAATCAAAGTAAAAGAAACATAGAGTTCATGATAGGGTTTTGAAAGAGTGTACGAGTCTGTAGGGAGGGGTCGAAGAAGAGGGTTTGGGAGGAGTTGGCCACTTCTATAGTGGAAAGCGACCATGGGTGTTTGGGTTGGGGTGCTTCTAATCTTCTTGCTAGTTACCTACTCTTCTAATCTGTCAAAACTTCTTCTCTTGTAACCTTGAACTTCTAGAAACGCGAGAGCTGAAGTGTTGAACCTGTTTGTCAAACTTTTAGAAGTCAAATTTGAATATCTGACTTTGTTTCAGTTGCATATCACTTGACCTATAAGTTGATTGGAATGAAATAAATGGTTGAGAAGCTGTCTTTTCTAACACCACTTAATTTCAGTTCCTGAGCAGTCTGCCCACGCATGTACCCTGGAAGTATCTGGTAAATTTGCTGGTCTTATGAGGAGTTTCAAGGCATGTCCTAACAATGTTTTGCTTTATAAAGCTTCAATTCTGGAAGTTCAATTGCCATACCTTTTTTTGATAACCAAGAAATCCTTGAGGGCCATGGTGCACGTTCAAACTCGGTGGATAATGAGGTCCGCCCCTCTATTCTCCTCCACTTAAATGCGAGACTTTTGTCTGCGGCAGGGTACGAACCATATAGTTTCAGATTTTGGTTAACAGTTAGTTGAGGGATATTAGATTCCCAATTATTTATGATTTGGATTTTGGATAATCATACTACATAAATATATCTTACTAAGTTTAAAAGTAGAAGATTATATTTCCTTAGAGGATCGTAATAGAAGTGTTAAGTATTACTCTGTAACATGCATGAAGCACTGCCCTTGTAAAAAAACGTGAAACATTGTGGTCATGATTTTTGGCTATAGGCAAGACACAAGATGAGACCGGAAGTTATTTTTGCTTCATGTGATGGCTAATGTGTAAATTAATATTTGACACCCTATGATTCCCACCACAATGAATGTACTGGAAAATGAAACCCAATTCTGAAGTACTGTATTATTTCGACGAAGATGTTGGAACATGGTCTTATTTGGTCTTTAATTGTGATCAGCTCCAAATGATTTTATTCCTTCTGCTCATTTAAAAAATTAATGAAACAGTGTGACCAAATAATGCAAAGATACATAAATCTAGTGGTCATGTGCTCTTCCATTGCCCGTCCAGCGTTTGAGAAATCTCCCCTGCAAGTGAATAATATTCTAGATTTACTTATTTCCCCTTTCAAATGTACTCTGCGATAGTGTGGCCAGCGTTGTGTTAGTCCCATTATTTGTCACTTGAATGTTTGTCGTCTTCCGATTTGTAAAAAAGTGTAATTTCTTCTTGTCTGCGGTTTAAGTTTCCTGCTATTACTTGCGTTAATAACTGCAATATTTTCTAACCTTGGCAGCATTAGCAGCAAGGCTGGGCTGCTGGGATCAGGTTCATAATGCCTTTCAGACCGGCTTGCAGATTTAGCTAGCAACTTCTCTGCTTGCCGATGGATTAGCTGTTGCCGGGCAAGTAGGATCACACATTTCTTTCTTTTCCCCTTTTTTCGATTGATTTATGTTGAATCTGCATGATAAATTTGTGGAATAAGGACATATGGAAAGTCTGTCACTTGCCAATTGATTTTGATGGTTTTGACAGTGGAGATCGTTTTTGCTACTTTAGAAATAAAGCTACTTTCTTTACCATGAGTTAAAATAAATTACTGTGTATTACTCTCACATCTCTAAGGAAATGAAAAGGCAGATATTTGTTATCCCTAGAGGTGGCAAAATGGGTAAAAGAAAACAGTTATCAAACCATATTATCCATTAAAAAATGAGTTGGATAATGAACTTTTTAAAAACGGGTTGAATATGGATAAGAACCATATTATCCACTTAGAAAATGGTTAACCAAATGGATAACCAATGGATAACTAATGTATTTAACTTTTACATTTGTAAAGCCTCAAATTGGGGGTTTCTCAAATTTGGGAGACTAGGAATTCTCCCATAAGTGATCATATTCAAGAAGACATGGATAATATGGATATCCAGATTATCCGCCGGATAACCCGTTTTTTATCCGTCTCAAATACGGGTCGAGTTGGATAATTTATCCGTTTTTTGAATTACCCCTTTTCGACCCGCGAATATCCGACCCGACCCGCCAGTTTGCCACCCCTAGTTATCCCTAGTTTGCTTGAGGAATAGTGTTCACCAAATATTTATTATGTTTGAGCTTAATGGTTGTCTAGAACACAGTTACAGAGCTGGTCTTGTACAGTCTTTAAACAAATTTTTGCAAGACGATTCATATGGAAGTCCTATTGTTACATGGGTAGGACAAAGAGAGTCCTTAAACATTATCAAAGCACCTCTCTCTGTTACTTTATTACTTTTACGTTTTCTATCTGAGGAAAGCAAAAGGCAGGGAGGAGCAGGGGCAATTTCAGTTGCTTCACTTTCCTGATTTAATTGCTTGGTCAATTTAGTGACAAAGTTCAAGACAAAAGGAGATTCCATGATTGGAGATGTAAATTCGGCTCAGTAATTATTTATTTTCAAAAGCCCGAAACCTGAAGTTATACTAGTCTAAGTTTCTAACAACTTAGCCTTAGTCCCAAACTAGTCAGGGTCGGCTATACGAATCCTCATTGAACATGTTTCTCTGTTTAAGCTCAACTCATGTCATCATCATACCAAATAAAAATATAAGTAAAAATTAAGTTAAAAATATATAAATAATAATAATAATGATAATAATAATAATATTAAAAGTTCTCTATATTATTACTAGCATATAAATCTATAATAAGGTCAAAATAATCCTAGAAAAGCAATAGGTTCAAAATCAATGTAGTAACAAGACTATATCCTATTTCCAACCAGTAGATATCATCTATATGGATCTTAGTCTAAGTTTCTATGAATACAAAAGAATTTACTTTCCTTTATTTCATTGCTTTTACTGACTTGATCCAAAATTTGAGTGATATCTAATGAAGGTACGAGTTTAGTTCCTATGTGTGCATGGATAGCAGACTAGGATGAAGCTGCAACATCCTCTACAAGAATAGTATTATTTGTAACGATGAGCTATCTTCAATGACTTCATGATGTTTGCAACTCATCAAAGAGTAAAATGATGATTCTCTCTTCAAAAGTGCCAATTTAGGAACATGGGGTATCTAATCATTTCAAGGTTCTTATACATAGTATTGAATTTTTCTTGGATGTTGAGCAAAGTTTCATGATTTTATCCTGCATAGTTCTTTGTAAGCTGACTATGCAGAAACTCATAAAATGGCTGTTACTCTATGTCATGGGCCATGGTGCTAGTTTTCGTTGACTATTCATTTTCATTTCCCCGCATTCTTTGTCTTACTGTCCTAAAGCATGTGTAAACACGTGACATGGTTTGAATGCCATTCTCGCAAGTGTGTTTGCACAGCTGCTACCATGCGAGTAATACATGCATATCTTTTTGATATACAGGGCCAGCCTATCATTTCTTTAGCATTTCTCTTTGATGGCTTCTACTTTGGAGCATCTGAAGTTATTAATTCTGCCTACTCGATTTAGTACTCTTTAACTATTCCATTTTATCAGCAGCCTTCTTTACCTGAGCTTATCTGGAGTCTACTGGAGACTTGAACACTTACAATTTAGAACTCTTTGTTTTCTACTTTTGATTATTTGCCAATCTTTCTGGAAACTGGTAGTTTATAGGAGAAAAGCTCACAAGTTACATTTTTGTTTACAGATAATGGTGTCACCATTGAGCATCCTTTTCTTGTTTTGTCATCAGGTCATATTTTGTTGGGCCTAAAGGGTTGCACTTGCACTATCCATCTTTATGACTGGTGTCGGATTCTGAGGTAATTTGCCATTTATTGATTCTTTATGATAATGAGAAAAGGGTGAAAATCATTCTTAGCACAACCTTCCCTTTTACTGAAAACCAAATTACTGATGACATTGAAAGCTTCCTAACTTTTTGTACATGTGCATGCGCAGGATAGCGGCAAGATCTGGAGCTTGGCTGACAGACTTTGTATGTGTCCAAGAACTTTCGACAATATTTTACTATTGAAGAGGAGCCTTAGAGCAATGGTAAAGTTGTCTCGGTATGACCTGCAGGGCACAGGTTCGAGCCGTGGAAGAAGCCACTAATGCTTGCGTTAGGGTAGGCTGTCTATATCACACCCCTAGGGTGCGGCCCTTCCCCAAACCATGCATGAATGCGGGATACTTTGTGTACCGAGCTATACAATGGATGTACTTTGCATTGAAAGACTGCATTCCATTCTTTTACAACTCTATTCTAAGTACAAAAATCAGGCATGAAATAAGAAATCCCTGTCTGGATATGTTGCTTGTTTTTGTAATTACATATAGTATGTATTATTTGTATATTATGCAATTCCAACTTTGTTTAGTATGAAATTTGAGTACACTGCATTTCGGTTCACAGAGATCTTTAAATTATGCTGGAGGAGATTCGCTTTTCTTTCCTTTATTTTCTGTTTCTTTCTGGTAATTTTGCTTTACACTGATAATGTTTTTCTTTTGAAAACTTGATCGCTAAGCCATTCTGGAAATATGGTGACATTCGACGATTACATTTTCGCAAGCTATTCCTATTCGACCTTTCATTTCATAACATATAATTTCAAAAGCTATTAACTATTCGAGTTAAAATATCAAGTATCTTTTCAAAATGTCTCTTGAAAATCCCTGTAGTCCCCAAAAAACAGTTAAAATCTATCGTATGACAACCTTTCTAAAAGAAGGCACCATCTCAAACTAGCCTGTTTGGCCAAGCTTCTTTTAGGGCCAAGAGTGTTTTTTTCTCAAAAAAGTATTCTCCCCCTCAAGAGGTGTTTGACTAAGTTTTTTGCGGGAGAACAAGTGTTTATGGGTAAAAGTAGAAGCAGTTTCTGAGAAGCAAAAAAAATTAATCTCTCTCTAAAAGCAGAAACAATTTTAAATTTTCTTCTTACCAAAACTACGCTTAGCAAAATTTTGTATATACCAAAATAATCTTACTTAATTTAAATTATTAAATAAGTTATAGTGACTTTTGGGATGAACTTTTATATTTGTTGAATGAGTTTTTGAAAATTTTAAATCATCTTGAAAGGAAAAAGTAATTTTTAATTTTATTTCATATTTTATTTAAATAAATAAAATACTTAATTATTATAATTAATAATAAATATTTCTTGATTATTTATCTACCTATATAATACTAACTATTAAGTAAATGTTTTCATGTATTTATTTATAATTTGATACTTAAAAGTATTTTCTGAAAAGTTTGGCCAAACACCAATTATTACTTAGTTACTTTTCAAATTGATTAGTCAAACACAAGCTGATTCTTTCCAAAAATACTTTTTCTAAAAATACTTCTCAAAATAAGCTGATGCTTAAAGTTTTGGCCAAACAGGCTATAATTCTAGCGAGAAAATATACACCCCCACCAATGGAAAGATCTTACATGCACTTAGTGTTTATACCAAATTAATTAATGTATGAATTGTGATGTACATTAACTTTTATTACTTAATCATGATTATACCAAATTAATTAATGCATGAATTGTAATTAATCATGATTAATGGATATATATATATATAAAATCTCATTTTATCACCACCTTCTAAAAAGAATTTAAATTTTATCACTTAACTATGTTAAGTTAATATAATTTAATATAAACACTAAGTGCGAGTAAACAGTTTTCTCACTGTGAGCAGTGAGCACCACCACCATCACTTTTGCTACGTCTCTCTTTCTTTTTGCCTATTTGTGTTGAGTACCTAAGCCCAAAGGTTTGAACTTTTATTTTGGCTAAAACCGTGAAAAGTAGCAGGCAAAGACACATAGGAGCCACTTACACTACAATGATCTTTCTAGTGTTACATCGAAAGTTGACGGAGTGGGGTTGGCAAAGATCTAAGGCCACAACTATAAGTATGAATGTGAAGATGAGGAATGAGATCATTTAATGGAATTTCTATTATTACATACTACCTAAAGAAGCATCTATTTGGATTATTATTATTAAGAAAAAAGGACCCTATTGTTTACCCTCAAAATCGGATAACAATTGAATTTATTAGTGGTTTAAAGGATATGAAGATTAACTTGATACTGAACGATAAATTAGATTGCAATTGAAATAAATAACGATAAATTAACTGCAAACCACACGAATTGGATAATTTTAGCCTAGGAGAGCTAGCCATCCTTGAGTTGAATGTATTTTGATTGACACCAAGATACCAAAAGAATAATAACTTAAAGAATAACGTTAATGTATTGCCTATGAGTGTATGTTACCACGTCCTTCATGAATTGTGAGGCCCCCTTTATATATTAGAGGAACCTACTTTTGAGGTATTATTCTATTATTCCATAAAAGGTAAAAAGGTCCTTGATTGTTGACCGTTGGTTCCTTTTTTGGTATGTTCAATGATTTTCGCCGTAATGTCCGGTTAATTGCGGGAATTTCGGACCCCTGTTGGATAAGCTGGCAATATGTTCCTTGAGATCGTTATGATCGGGACCGGTTATGACCTCGGTAAACTCGAAGGCAAGTCTGGTGGTTTCGATGGCTAATTTGGTAAGGCAGGAATCGATCTCCGGGATTTTATCATCATCTCTCGATCCCAAATTGTCGTGTTGGATGATCGATCAAATCCTGAGTTCGATTTTACTCGTACACAGATAGTCCCCTCATTTTTCAGAGAGTAAATGACGAGAAACGATATGAGCTTCCGATTCTTACTTCGATAAATCATGACGTAAGCAACAAAATCATGACGTAAAATCCCCTTGTTTTTCGGAGAGTAAATAACGAGAAACGATGTGAGCTCCCGATTCACTTCTTCAATAAATCATGATGTAAGCGACAAAATCATGACGTAAGCGATAAGAATAGTTGAAATGTCCCGTCGGTCCAGTTTTCAAGGCATTAAATGCTTGTCAGTTGCTGGCCGATCACTCCTAGATGCGAACCGTCCCTTGGAAAACTATAAATACCTCATCTCTTTGTTCATTCAAACTTTTACATTCAAACCTTCTGCTATCGTGTCTAAGAGATTTCATGACTTCCAAGTTATTCTGTTTTCTAAGATCTTTCATAAGAGTTCTTCATCCGCTAATCATCCATTATTTCTCATTCAAACCTTCTTCTCTTTATATCTGTTCCATTTAAAGGAATGGCGAAGATTTCAAAATCCGTTCCTCAAAAAGAAACTCCCTCTGCCTCGAGGCCAGCTGTTGAGGAAACCGTTTCTCATACTGCTGCTGCTGAGGAACCGACACCGGAGCCTCCCCTGAAATTGTTCATCCCCACGGGATGCCCGACTGGTGCTGATTTCAAGAACGAGAAAACCTCTTCGGTACCGGGTCGGTGTGAACCGGTCTCGAGATATATCTGCTCGATCACCGAGGATGTCCTCTCCGAAGTCAAGAAAGATTGCAACTGGGCTAATAAGCACGTAGTGTCCCCCAAGCCCGAGGAAGCTATCACTACCGACGTTGAGGGTTTTTTAAGTGTTCACACTTATCCCTTCACGCTGGGCCCCTTGGAACCGATCATTATCGCCTTCTGTAAGAGGTACGAGGTGACCCTTGGTCAAATTCACCCGTCTTTTTGGAGGATAGTGATTCTCCTCCATTTTTTCGTAAGCAAGATCGAGGGGTGTCACTTCACCATCGACCATCTCATGCATTTATATAGTCCCCGACTTTATCGAGGTGGACTGATCAAGCTGGCCCGTCGGGCCAGTAAGTGTCACGACCCAAAGTTCCACCTTGGGGGTCGTGATGACACCTAGTCTCTAAGACTAGGTAAACGATTTCAATTACATTTTGAAGCCATTTTTAAAATAAATAAATAAATAAGTAATCAAAACTAATAGCGGAATAAATATGAACATACAACCTCCCAAGACTGGTAGTACTGAGTCACGAACTCTAACTGAATACATAAAATATTCACGAGGACCGAATATACAATACTGTTTGATTAAAAATTAACAGTACAATGAAATAAAAAGACTCCAAGGGACTGCGACGACCAAGCAACTCTACCTTGAATCCTTACGATACCACTCTAATTCTGTCCGAGTCCGATATCTCCAATACCTGGATCTGCACAAAAATGTGCAGAAGTGTAGAATGAGCACACCACAGCGGTGCCCAGTAAGTATCAAGACTAACCTCAGTGGAGTAGAGAAGAGGTACAGTCAAGACACTCACTAGTCTAATAGCCTGTGCAATAAGATATACAAAATAATAGGAAACAAATAACAATAAAGGCAACAAAAACACCATTAATAACGCTCAACAATTTATGAATATAAGTACACCCAATTAAATCAAGTATTTCAAATAAATATTTTGAATATAATTCTTTCAATTAAAAAGTCACCATGTGACACTTCATTTCATAATCATACAACTACGGGTCTCAGCCCATTTTCATATTTTTTTATACACACGAGTCTCATCTCACTTTCATATTTTTACTGCACTTTGTGCCTATAATTAAATCATCATATTTTCCCGGCACCTCATGCCCTCATTTCATATCACAACTGCACGGACAATTCACGTGCCAAATATCATTATCAATGCATATAAGATCCACACGATCAATTTATTTCCGATAAAGTAAGTTTAAAATTTTTAAATCAAATAAGAAAATCAACAAAGAAATGAATTTATTTTAGAAAATATTTGGCTGAAGAAAATAACATTTTAATTAAAATGAATCACTTGATAGTTGCTGATTTGGATGTAAAACTTATAAGAACTAAAGCACACAACAATTCCTTTTATTCAAAACAACTTAACCTTGAAACCTAATAAAGACTAGAACCACAAATCCTCAAAGTCTCGTACAATAACCAAAGCCAACACATTACAACAAGGAATACAAACACATAATAGAATCAAATATTACATCACAGAAGAACACAACAATTTACCTATCACGAAAATACAAAAATAACCGAAGACATGTGCAACCACAGAGAATGTCAACAAAGGCACTCCCGAGATATCATTTTGTAGTCCCAAAAGTAAATATGCAACAACAACAACGCCCCCATGCCATCACAAGTCATCACAATTCAATCCCCGATATAGCCTACCTTGCCTCGCCACGTGTGCAATAATAAATTAAATTCTCGCCTTATCTCGCCACACGTGCATAATAATGTTCCCACCTTATCTCCCCACATGCGCAAACCCACATATATATTTATATATATAGCCCGCCTTGTCATGCCGCATGTACATAAATCAATAGTAATAATAGCACGACAGAAACCTCGTGCAAACACCCGAACATAACTCCCACAATATAACGTGCCAAAATCACATCTCATAAACTGCACCTCAAGTGCTCAGATATTACAACATATCACAGATTGCACATCAAA